GAGTGCCTTGAATTTTTTTGTGAACATAGAAGAATTAGTTTACTAATTGATGTGTCAAAACACTTTAAACGAAGATTTATGTTAGTAATATACATGCGGAAAATTTTATTGAAATCGGTTGACACGCATCGAAAAACGTAAGAACTTTTAGATTTACCATAGTTACTGTTCGAAAGTAGAGAAAGAACTGCGAAAACACGATTAGTTAACAGTTTTCGATGAAATTTTCAGCATGTAACATAACTAACATGAATCTAAGAAATGTTCTTGTTTTTAAATTTTCATTACAGTCTCCGATTAAAAGGTTGTAACAAGCGACCTTCACTATTTTCTTCGCGAATCCGACCAATTGCAACTTTTTCAAAATTCTTTTTACATATCACTTAGTAAACGAATCTTTCTAACCTCGCAAAAAGAACTCAAATCACCTGGTTCAAGTTTAAAAAAGCTGTTCTATTTTAAATCCTGTGAGAAGACTTTTTTAACTAACTGTATCTTCTCGATGGTAGCGAGGGATTTAGATCTCCCATAAAAATAGATAGAGAATTTCACCGAGAATAGTAGATCACTTTTTATCAAGCCTAATAAATGGAACGCATTCTATCCCATTCAAACCCGTTTTCGCCCGGCTATGTTCCCATCTACGAACCACACGATCCACGTTGGCGCAATTCCGATTTAATATCCACCGGGGTGGAAACAAACACGGCGTGTACTTTCAAACAAACGCCCGAAACTAAATGTCACAATACGGTACGGGGGTGCGATAACAGTGGAATTAACGCGTTATTTCTGCGGTCGCCTGTGTGTAACGGTAGAAGCGATCGGTAAATTCCGTTCGTCATTGGTCGGGCAAACGAAGCTGGGAACCACGCTAACGAAAATAATTGCCGTTAATGGCGGCCGCCGCGTCGAATAACAAAGACCGTGTGGATCGTGTTGGCGCGAAAAGTTTTCGCGATCGGGTAGAACGATGAGGCCACGATCTCTCCCGTCTGCGCGTAAAGCCGAAACACGATTTGCCTCCACAGCAAATTAGCAGTTAACAAATTAACAGTGTATCCTGGACGACGGGGGCGGAGGGGTGCGGACGGTCTGCCTACGAAACGCAAAATTGCCGCGGCTCATCGCTTCCTGGCGTATCCTGCCGATTGAAATACATCTACCACGCTCTACGTTTGCAAATGGCTGAACCTATTGATTATCCGCTCGTGTTTCTGCCGTGTTGTCAATTTTCCTAACCGATTCATTATGATCGAAGCGTCTGAACGGTCATCCGAATTCCACTCGTGAATCTTTATTTATTATCTTTAGAATCTTTATTAATTCACTTATCCTTCCACTGATACAACTTGTCTTCCTACAATAAATGAGAACATAGAAGTGCATTATTTTAAAACAAAATTCTGTTATACTAATATTTCGTTTTTACAGAAAATGAGGAATGATCGGAGGCTCCACGCAGACAAATACACCATCGAAGGTACATTATTCGATGATACTGCACGGTTCGAGCACTGACCGGGTTTCTGTAACACGAGAACGAAATCCTGCGTTGCGCACATGTACGTATACCCCCGAATAACGAATCGCTACAGTGATACGTACTTATCCGTGATAGATACCGTTAGCAGTCGAGTGCAATCATTATTCGTAATGAGACCGACGAGCTCTCCTTTATTAATTATTTCCATCGTAGCAAACATCACGCGATATGGAAAGATCGTGAAAACACGACGAACCCCGCGAATTTTCTTCGATTATTAAACGTCCACCCGATTCGAACGATGCATTCGAGCGTGAGCGGTCGAGTCAACGAAAAGATATGAATAATATATTTATGGAATTTTTGTGACCAGGAGCACACGGTTGCGCGGTTTTAACGCACCGCTGACCCAAATTCCTCCCCGATTAAACACACATCGCGCAGCGTATCGTCGAATTTATCAGGGAACCAGGTGGAAGGGGTGATCAGTGTTTTACCTTTGCGAATATTTACGCGGTATGTTGACATCGTTATCGACGGAATCATCGCCGCCACGATCCATCGCGTGATCCAGCTGTCGTGAATGCAAATTTAAGATAGTCGTGTCCCCCACCCCCATATATAGACGACATATTCGTTTTCGCGGGCTCGTTTTTTTCCCGTGTGGACCCAGCCACGCGGTTCGCTGGGCTAATTGGAACTCGGTAAATATGAACGGGGTTCACGCGATCGGCGCCCACGATTATCGATTGAACCGCTTGCAAATTTTATTCGGGACAATAGCACGGAATAATGAACTCCACGGGGAAGCGATTCGTCGCGGACCACTGGACATTAGCTCGACTACCGTGGCTACGGATGAGGTCTAGGTGTGTGATGAAGTTGTTGAAAATTGTATAATAATAATTGAAAATTTAGTACAAGCCACGGAAAAAATTTAAATGATAAAGTTACGATTGTGGAATACGTACATATAGTATCCCGAGGTGGAGAATCGATCTTCCAAAAATTCCGCCGGAATTTCCGCCCTGGAAATGTATTCCGCGAGATAATCTGTGGCTATTTGAGAGGAAAACCAACCGGGACACACCGTCTATTCCCGACCAGCAAAATCATAACGGTGAATCTTCCTGTTTCGTTGATTTTGCCGGAAAGTTCGGAAAGTTAATACCGTTTCATAATTGAAACTTCTATCTGACCGGAGGGGGGAAATGGGTTGAAGTTTTTACTGGTCCCGAACGGTGGCTTCTTTTATCGCTTAATAACGGCTCGACCGGACTCGTCACTGGAGACCGTAATTCATGTTGCGGGGAAGTTCGAACTTTCTCGGTAACTTTCTGGACTTTGTTCCTCGCTGGACGAACGACAGTGCTTTCGACCGATCCATGGATCACTATCGGTACTCTTGGTCGTGTTTAATCGTCACTTTGCGCGTTCTAGACGTAATAGAATTCTCTTGAACGTGTTGAAATTCCGAATGTGATAGAGGATTGTTATTATTCATAATATTCATAGAAATTCCAAGTAAGAGATAACTTTATTAATATGCCATGTTTATGAGATTGTATGATTTACATCATTAATAATGATGCAAATTTTCCCAACAGTTGGATAACAATATGCAATGTTAGAGGAATGGGGATTCCGTGCAGGAAAGGGGATGTCGCGACGTCGTACGACAGCCCTCGATCACCACGATTCGTGAGACCGCCAAGTGAAGTAATCGCAGCGCGATGCCAACGGTAATTAGCAGTTGCCGCGATCCACCGGAAATTGCCGCGTTCCCCGCCGGAATACCGTGCAAACCTCGAGTGTCTATACAGTCATTATCGCGGTGGTAACGCCGCATGAGGACGGCTCGTGAGAACCGAAGCACGCGAAACATCTCCGCAATCGACTTTGCTCCGTATATTGTCTCGTTCGACCCAGTTCTTTCGAACCGATACTAACTTTCCGAATCAATTGAACAGTTTTCGAGGCTCACCTGGTCAACGTAACACTTCCATTACCTGGGATTATAAGACTTAATTAACAACAAAATAGTTTTTCTAGCATAATTATACATAAAGATTCTTGATTATCGGGTCCAATGGTAGCCAAAAACGAGAGAAGAAGAGGTTCAGATATTCCTCAAAATATTACGAAACGACTACAGTTTACGTAACATGTTCTAATCTATTTGACCTCACCTAACTATAATTGCTTCGAAATTCAAAATAATGTACTTAGACCAGGTACCTAGGTCTTGGTTCTAGTTATCGATCAAGAATCATTGCACCCAGGTCACGTTGAGGATGGCCTGTAATCACCGAAGGACGCCTTTTCATCCAGAAAACGTTAGATTCCCTTATCACCTGACCGTCTTAGTACTTTAACGACGTAACTTGAGCGCAAGGACAGCTAGGACCACCAGCTCAGCCCTTATCGTTGTCACCATGCTCGCCTTTTTGTCTCTGCTCTTCTTTCCCTCTATCGACATGCATTCGAGGCATTGTTAGCGCACGGTCGCGCCTTCCTTTTATCCCCTCCTGCCTGTTATTCCCTTTTCGTTCTTGCTCGTACCCCGTCCCCATTGCCCTCCTTTTCCCCTTTTGTCTTTATCCATTCGCGATAACGACGTTCCGCGCCGGTATCGAATTGATCAGACGGGACGCGCCTTAACGACGTGCCGCGTGCGACTGTGTACCGGGTGTGGCCGGGCTTCGTTTTCATCGACACGATCGACCTCTTTTCGGGCCTTCGCGGATTGCGAGTAATTACATCGCAGGATTTTATATCGTTCGTCGAGCTTCAAACTTACGTGGAGTTTGTATCAGAGCCACGGATACTCTGGTGACGTTTGACAGATGTTGAACGTTTCACCTGACTGATTACTGCGGTGATAATTGAAGATGTGCAGACTGACAGATCGGGACTGAGAGCGCAACGTGCATAGAGAAGAAGCCACGGAATCCACTTCAGATCTCAATCAGAAGCAAATGATTGAGAGGTGACTGATGAAGGGGAAGGTTACACTTACGATCACTACTACTCTCTCCTGAGTTTACTCTCGTCCGAATCAGATAGTAACCAAACACAGCAGAACACTGTACAGTTTCTAGAAACGCAACTAAGTAGAACATTTCTACCATTTGCAGAATGAAGTACTGAAGAACGATTCCCAGTACACGTTTCACAGCTGACTATTGTCACTACACACCGAGCAACCCACGAGCCCAGCGTCTCCGATACTCATCGTTCTACCACCAAGCGTAGTATATCACGTGAATCATAAGCATCTACACGCCGCGATAGTAGAATCTATTACCTCGATGCGCATCAGTGTTGTCGACACCGTAGTCCAACCAGGGAAACAAGTGGCTACATCGACGAGGTTAATTTATTCAGAACGTTGGCCTATATTTACAAGTGTGTCCACGGGAATCTCCGTGCTTTGGTATACGAAACGCGGTGAACTTGTTCAGCTCGACGCGCTTACATCCAGGTACAGAACAATAGGCGATTGTAGGACGTGTCAGTAACCCTCCAGCTCGGCGTATGACGTCTGATAGTCGCCAGCGTCTTGTCCCTGTTGCGTGGGCGCTAGGTGATCGTGAACCTGGGCCTGGCCTTGACCACCGTAGACACCAGTGGAGTGGTCATTCTTGCCGGAAGTGTGCACCACCGCGTGAAATCCGTCCTTGTCCGCTCGGTATCTGACGACTCGGATCCCGCCACCTGGCTCCTTCACGCTGTACTCGCCGGACACGCTGCTTCCTGCGGCAAGAAACGACCGTGGACGAAATGGAACGAAGCCGCGAAAACCAATTCCCCGGTCCCGTAACGAGACGTAATTCAGTGCCGGGGCAGAAATTCCGCCCGCGGAGTGGCTATTAGCATAACAGCGCCGGGCGAATAACTCTCCGCTGACAGAAGCGAGGAAACGGCTGCGCGGGGAGAATCGCGAGCACGACCGCGTCCTCCCCTTATTTACAGCGAGACGAGCCCTGGGATATTTGGACTAAGCGAATTTTCTGCTTTCGGTTGAACCGTGGGTGTGCCTATGCTCTAACCGGATGGAAAGTTGAGCCGGCGATTGCGTTCGTTAGCGAGTCAATTATAACGGTGCTTTGGGGGTGAAATGGTCAAACTTTGCTAACCTGGTCGGTCTGAATAAATTCGATCGGTGTTAGTAATCAAATATAAATCGTGATGGTGTTACATTTTTATACGGTGTCTGCGGCTTCAATTTTTAATTCATGTTTCAGGTTTGCACTCGGTTTTTGCTGTACCGTGAGATGAGGTAACCTGGACTCAGCCAGGGGTAGCTTTGTGACAAAGTCAGAAAACCATCATTTTTATTTTGCAGCTCTTTTACAGGTATTTTTATGTGAAATATTTTTTCATGTGGAAAATTTAGTAAACATAACTATTTGCAGAGCTGCAAAACCGGAAATGAACATTTTCTGAGTTTAGGGCGAAGTTATCCTGACTGAATCAAATTATCCAAACTTACTAGTTCCCTTATTCATTACAAGATATCATTATTCACTTCTAATTAGCGTATTGTGCTTCGTACATTTTATATTTTAACGCAACCTGGCATTCACCGGTATGGCGGTCAGCGAATTAAACAACGAACGCCCAACGTTCCACGAAAAACATTTCCAAAAG